CTGCTGCATGAGTTTTAGTTAGGGTGGCTTCAGAAAATTGTTCTCCCTGCTTGTTAAAACAAATTGAGGCTGATGCATAACAAGAGATATGCATCACCTGGGTATGCCTGCAAGTTGCAAAACAATTTTGGAGAGCTTCACTTGTACTGGGGGAAATAATCTTTGGCTTGTTAACACATACCCATTCAGGCTGATGAACTCCTCCGAGTTTATGGTCAACCTCAGCACAGAGGGAAGCCACCTTAGTCAAGCAGTCAGCAGTCTGGGTCCAACTAGTGGAAGCCTGAGTCCAAGATCCTCCCCTGCATTCGCGGGGAGGGGGGGGGCAAAAAGGTACTCCCTGATGTTGGAAGGTGAAGGGCTAAGGCCTCCGTGTACAAAACTGTTCAGCAGAAGTGCCTTAAGCAGGATCCTCCCACAGATTGTTGGCTGCATCTGCAAAAGAGGAAAATTTGTCCTCAGGGGGAGGGTCTCCATCCCTGGGTTGAGGTAAGTCATTAACCTGTTTAACCAGGCGTTCTGGTAACCATCTTGGGGCTGCTTGCTCTTGGTCCAAAACACAAGCTGAGCTTCGTTCCCAGATGAGGACAGGATCTGGGCCTTTCCATTTATTTGTAAGGGGATCACGCCACATAACAGGTGGGCGAACAGAACTGGACGAGGGATGCCAGTGTCTGTCTGCAGCCGAATGGCCTTCACTGTCTAGGGTAAGAAAATTAAGGTCAAATAATGCATGGTTAAGGCAATCCCTGGGTGTGGTAAATACAAGGGCAGAAGCCTTAGGAGGGTTAGCCAAGTCTTTAAGGTAAGGTGGGCACTTTCCACAATGCCTTGGCCCTGAGGGTTGTATGGAATTCCAGTAGTATGACAAATTTGTAAGGTAGCACAAAACTGTTTAAACTTGGCACTGGTATATGCAGGACCATTATCTGTTTTAATATGTATTGGTTTACCCATTATGGAAAAGTCTGAAACAAGATGAGATAGGACATCTCTGGTAGCCTCTCCAGAATGTGGTGATACAAAAATAAAGCCATTGAAGGTATCTATAGAAACGTGTATATATTTGGTTTTTCCAAATTCAGGAAAATGAGTAACATCCATTTGCCAAATCTGATTGGGCAGTAATCCTCGGGGGTTAACTCCCAAGTGTTGAATGGGGAGGGAGACAGCGCAAGCAGGATATGCTTTTACTATTTCTCGTGCCTGTTGCCTGGTAATTTTACAAAGTAATCAAAGGCTCTGGGAATTTAAATGGTGAAGATTGTGTAACTCTGTGGCCTTTTGAACAGAGCCAACAAAAATTGGAAAGATGGAATGAGCTGCTGCATCAGCTGGGCATTACCTTGGATAGCTGTGGCCAGTCTTTTTATTTCTCCAGTGAAATCATTATCAATAATGCCAGGGAAGACCTGAACACCTTGTAAGGTAGTAGAGGCTCTTCCAAGAATAAGGGCACACGTATGAGATGGAGGGTAATTCCAGTGGGTATTATCTGGGGCCCTGGTGGCGGCACAGAGGTCCAATCCTGTGCTGCCTGGGGTGGCTTGTTGGAGGGAGACAATCGTGGAGAAGGATTTTGAGGTAGGTTGGGAGTTTGGGAGGGAACAAACCTTATTTCCCCTGCGTTTGTCCTGGGGGAGGTCGGGGCCAGGGGCTGACTCCGAAAGGAGTTTCCTGAGAAGCGGGAAGAAACAGGCTATCCAAGGGCATTCGTCTTAGATCTACACTCATTGGCCCAGTGACGACCTTTACCACATCTAGGGCAAAGGGTGGCTGGGGGCGGTTTAGCCCCGGTTTGAGGAGACGCTATCCCTAGGCTTTGTTTGCCTGTCGGACACTTGTGTGCAAAATGGCCAGGTTGTTTACAAGTAAAGCAAGTACATGAGCCAGGATTGCGAAAGGCTTTGGTAAAGGCAGCACCTATGGTGAGACCCATGGCATGGGCTGCACCCACCCCGGCACAGAGTCATAAAGTCAGAAAGTTCCCCTTTACCTTTATGTGGCAGAAGAACATCCTGACATGCTGGGTTGGCGTTTTCAAAGGCAAGATGTTTTACAAAGGTGCTTTCGCTTGGTCCAAAGGCAATCCGCGGCTAGGTTAAGCCAGGCAACAAAGTCACTATAAGGCTCGTCAGGCCCTTGTCAAATTTTTGCTAGGGAAGTGGTAGCTGAGCCCTTTTGAGGGAGGCGTCTCCAAGCATGTAAGCCAGCTGTCTGAATCTGCGCCAAAAGTCCAGCAGGGAAAAGCACCTGTTTAGGGTTAGTGTCAAAAGGTGCATTGCCCACTAGCTTAACATAAGTCCAGGATTTAGAGGAGGCCTTAGTTAAATATTTTTGAGCATTTTCCCGACAGTGCTCTTTGAAATCTGCATTCCCTAACAGGAAGTCTCCGGCACTGAGGGTAGATCGGGCTAAAAATTTCCAATCATTAGGAGTAAGCCATTGTGCATTGTGGCTCTCTAATAAAGCCAATGTGTAAGGTGCAGTGGGGCCATATTGAGCACAAGCCTTTTTAAGTTTTTCAAGAAAACGTAGGCTTAATTTTTTGTAGACACTCTGGGTTCCTTCCTGCCTAGGGATGAACTCCTCATCCTCTGAGTCCTGATCTTCCTCTTGCCCTTCCCCTGATTCGTCCCCTTGATCTGTTTCCCCTTCCTCCTCTTGATCCTCCTTTTTTTCCTCAGCCTGGGAGGGCTTATCTATCTGACTGCGGGTGACTGGGAAGGCAAGAACAGGCTGATGGTGCGTCTTAGCCTTTGTATTAGATTGCCTTGGGCCAGCTCAGGTTGACTCCATGCCTAAGGCTAATGAGCAAAGCTCAGAGTCAAGGGATCTTAATTCTTTTAAAAGTTGAATCTGTTCCCATCTATGTTGGAGAGACTCTCCCAAGGGAGCCAGGTTAGGCAGGGGAAGGGGAGAAAAATATCTGAGGGGGCAGTTGGCCCCTGAAGGGCCGGAGCACAAAAGGCAGGAGTGATATAGGAAGGAGGTGGATGTGTAAGTCCTATAGGCTGTGGCAGGGTCCTGAGAGGTGGTGGGTCTTCTGAATGGTAGTGAGCTGCTTCCTTCTCCAAGGTAGCCTCCTCCCCAGGGGTCAATGTGTCTCTGGGGATTTAAAACTGGATAAAGGCAGTTGGTAACCATTGGAGCCTTATTCATTAGGGTGGGATTTTGAGGGGGACCAGGAAGATTTCCAGGGTCCTGGGGAGACTGAAAAGGGTCTATGTCTATACTAACTAAAGGGCATGCTGAGGGGGGACGAGAGGGACGAGAGGTCTTTTGCATAGCCTCTTCCCCAATCCTGACAAGTTTTAAGGTACCATTGTCAAAGGATGAACTTTTAAGAATTTCATTAATTAAGTTCCAATAAGAAAAGGTGGGAACAGGCACCTTTTCTGGACCAAAGGATTCATAATAATCTTTTAAACAGTCTCCTACTCTAAGCCATCTTTTACCATCAATGGTCCCTTCAAGGGAAAACCATGAACACAATTCTCCTATGTATGAAAAAAATAATTTTAAGTCCTTTTTCTTAACCCGCGCCCCCGTGTCTTGAGGGCCTCCTTGAGGCCTGACTAATACAAATCATGTGACAAAACTGCTTGTCCCATGGTGGGTCACTCACCGTGCATCGTCCCCACTCTCCTCCTGGATCTGTCTCTTGGTCGTGTCTGCCGAGGCGATCGTGAGCTCCATTTGGCCAAGTCTTCCCGGAGGACAGCGTTCCTTCTCAGTCAAAGGCTGGAGCCCCACATTGGGCGCCAAATGTCCTGACCGGCAGGACACATCAACATGGGCAGCAAACCTAGATGGGGAGGAATGAAGGGACAAGAGACACGAAAGGTGACAGCAAGACAGGAATTCTGATCAAGCTGCAAACTTTTATTGTTCACACAGGGGTATTTATATGCTGGGGATGGGGAAGCTCTCTAATCAGCAATTGCTGGATGTGGGTGGTAAAACTGTCAGCTGCAAGATGTCTGATGATCCTGATAACCACAGGATGTTCCAGGGAGATAGGTAGCTGCAGGATGTCTCCCAGGGGGCTGCCAGGCTATTCTTTGAAGGAGAATTTCCTTCTAGTCCCTGACACCACAGCATGTACTGGGGAGGTGACATTAATAATTTGGCTCTTCTATTGTACAGCATATTCGGAGAGCAAAGACACCATCTGTCCTTTCCTCCGGCTCAGGTGCCTGTGTGAAGCACTCACTTCATAAACATCAATGAAGGACATGGGGGTCCAGACCCTACCCAGGCCAATGTGACCCATGCTGAGCCCATCCTCTCCCCTCCAGAGGAAAGTGTGGAGGTGACCCACACATGTCCAAGTTTCTAGTAGGGAAGAAGCAGAAGGAAGCTAGTAGCTGAGTCCTGGTCACAGCCTGTTGCCAGGGTGGCCCTGTGTGCTCTAACCCACTCCTCTACTTACCAGTACTATGGTCCCAGGGAGTTGCTGCCCATCTCAAAGCCCCTGTTTTCAGGTTAGATAGGGGCCTTAGGCACACTCAGGGCTACCTGAACAGATGGCTTTGCTTGGGTACAGTATTGAAGCCAGATTTAAAGTTAGGTAGTCAGTGTAGTTAGGTAAATCAGGTCTAATATCGAGTGAAATCTAAAATGGAGGCCATGCTGGAAATGACTCGGGGAAAACACAGGACAATTCATGAAATGTTAATGAAGTTCCAAAAAGGCCCTAGGCCAAAGTCCACCTCAAAGAAGTGTTAACCAACAGCCCCAACAGATTTGGAGATAGCCCATCCCAGAGAAGTGATAATCCCATCCCCAAAAAGTGATAATTAGGCCCACCTGTGTCCCACCCCTCGGGCCTTCCAACCTACATTCCATCACCAAAACTATAAAAAGGGGAAACAACCGCACTTCCATGGATTCCACCTCTTGGGTCCCCTTCTTCCTCCGGGAGAAGTCTTTTCTGCTGTCCTTTAATAAACTTCTAATTTCTACTCTGACCTTGCCTCGGCATGTGCTTTTCTGGTGTTATTCTTCAACATTGGGGAAGCAAGAACTCGTCACTGGTCAACAGCGGTAAGAGTATCATCCAGAATAGGTCCCTTCCCTTTCCTGGCTTTTTACTGGTTTTTAAAGAGGAAAAGGCTTGCCTCAGCCCTTCACCAAGAAAAGACAAGTTTTGCAAATTTTCTCCCCATTTTCCAGATTCAGCTCCTGCAGGCTGAGTTCTGGAACTGTCCTGGGAATGGTGACTGGCCTGGGCCTTTACCTTACTCTGCCAGGTCAGAGGCAGTGCATGCACTCGCACACATGCTCCTCAGACCCTCTGATGCCAGCACTCACCCACCCTGCCTGGGAAAGGAGCCTAAGGGCTAGGAGTCCAAGAACTCCCTGCTACTACCAAGGACCTCATCAGAAACTCTAGTCCATGCAGCTGGCCTGGAACTAGGGGCATGTGTTCCTGCATCTGATCTCCTTTCCATGCTGTGGGCCCTGAAGAGACATAGCCACAGCAACAAGCCTCTCTATATATCCATGGGCCACAAAATGAGCCTGGAGGCAGCCATGTGCCTGACCTGATGCTGCTACAGATTCTGGAGCCCAGAGCTCTTGTGCCAGTGGGGTTTCAGCACATGCTCCTCTAATTCTCACCACTTGTCAGCTCTGCTGGGGTCACAGAGCAGTGGTTTGAGGACAAGATGGCCCTGGGATGATGGCAAGTCCATGAGCCCCTTGCTGAGGAACCTGGTGTGGACATATTGGGCCCTGGAGGCAGAAGGGTAGACAGGAGGATGCAGAGTTTCCAGGAATTCTACCTGAGATATCCTGCCTGTGCCTCATAAGCCACTGTGCCCAACACTCAGGTTCTCCCTCACTCAGACCTCCTGTACCTGGGTACCAGGTTGTCTGGAGGATAATTTGATGTCAGCTCTAATGGCACAGTACTCCACCAGTCCCCAGTCAGGAGCCCAGCAGGAGCAGCCCTCAGCCAGAGGCCCTTGCAGAAACACTGGGGGCGAGTGCTGAGGAAGGCTTATGACGGCATCAGGAACTCCAGGGTGTGGCTATGCCAGGTACCCAGCACCTAAACTGGTGCTCAGGGGTCAGGGGATCAGCACTCTGATGAGCCACTTGGCTCAGATGAGAAGAAACTCAGCCTGCAGCTGAGCACATGATGCCCACAGCTCACCTTCACAGTCATGGTGAGGGGACACCAGTCACATACTAGTACATGTTCCACAGAAGCTATAAGGTGAAAATCCAAGAGAAGCCATCCTCAGGAAGAGAGAAATCCTGGCTCAGGAACAGAATTTGCAAAAGCTCAGAGCAGGAAGAAGTTTGATGTGCTCAGGCAGCTCAGCCAGAGCAGGGAGGTGTAAAGCAACCTGGAGCCAGTTTGTGTCTCAAGCTTTCAGATTGCAGACCTCTATGCAGGGACTCAGCAGCCAGTGTGCCGGGCTTCAGATCTGCCTTTTTCAGGCAGCAGCTCTCTGTGTGCTACCAGGCCCTTGGGCCTTTGGGAGGAGCTGGGGGCATGGTCTGCACCTGAGGCCCTGCCTTCCACAGCCCAGCCCTGGAGACTGCTGAGGGTTGAGGGAGAGGGCCCAGAAGCCTCCCTCCAGTCTACTGCTTCCTGTGTGCCGGTAACCTTTAATAGAGGCTACCGGCAACCATCTAGGAGACTGGCTTCACACACTGTTAAAAGAGTGGGCCTCTGTCCTGCCTCGGCCTGGTTTCTGGCATGCAGAATGGCCTCCAGGTGGCAGCAGCAGCCTGCATACCACCAGGGCCAGGCTCCTGGGGCAGATGTGGGTGAATGAGTGGGCTTGTGAGCATCCACCAGCAAAAGCCTTGCTCTCTCCCCATCCAGGGTGTTGCTGAAGTCTTAAGCACATGGGCTGTCAAACCTATGTGAGTCTTCAGCCCTAAGAGGCCTTTTCTCGTCCATTCTTTCCCAGTGGCATAATGAGAAAAAAAAAAATCCAGGAGATTCTCTGAGGCCCTCAACCTGAGAGAACTCTGGTTTGTGCTATCCCAGACCTGCTGGGCATGCCTCTGTCCTCTTCTCAGCTTATCAGAGAGTGGACCCTGTTCTTGCAGGTGAGAGGTCAGCCACCTGAAAAGTACTTTGACCACCAAAAATAGGCAGGATCATGTGCCTTGAGTTGGAGAAGAGCCCACCAAGTCCTGAACCCACACTTCAGAGAAAAACCACCTGCTAAAATGGGTGAGGGTGCTGCAGGCTCACTATTTTCTTCCTGGGCCCACTGGCCTCTTAGTCCTAAATAGTGTGAGAGAGCGTCTTGGAGTTGGGTCTCCCTCCCGCTTCTCTGGTGGGCCTCTGATCATAGATGCTTCTGCACTGCCAGTGCCAGATGCAAATACTCCTGCCACGATGGGCTGCTGCCTGCCAGACACCCACCACCCACCCCACCTACTTCACCAGTAACTGAAGCAGGAGCCATCTGGGGATTAGCTGCTCCTGCCCATGAGTCACGAGGCCCCAGAGGTCAGCTAAACAAATCTGAGCCAGGATCGGGGGGCTTCTTGAGGCCAGGGTCCCACTTTGGACTGAGCCCTGTTTCATATTCCTCCCCACCTGGGCTGTCCCAACCTCCACCTACAACCCACAAGCCCTCTTTCACTCTCGTAAAAGGTAACCTTGCTGAACTTTCTAGAGATGGCAGGAGGCACAGGTGACACTAGTTGGAAGGACAGACTAGCTCTGCTGGGAATCCCCAGAAGAGAGTTGAATGAAGTCTCCAGTAAAGGCAGGTAGAGCTACTCATATTGGGAGGACCTAAGACCCTCGTCTTCATATCAGGACCTCAAACACTGAGGTTCTTGGCATTCCTGTCACCCACACACCAGTGGTGGCTTTTCCTGATATCCAGAAGTCTGGGCCTGAGGAGGACTTTCTGTGGGAGGTGTGAGGGCAATCCCAGGCTGTTGGGCAGGTAGGGTGTGTCCAGCATCTGGCTCAGAATCAGCCAGCACATTCTCAAGTTCTGTCTCCTCTAGTCTGACATCTGTTCTCAAGAACATTTACAGGACTCTGGGGCACTCCAAGTCATTTGTACCAGGCCAGGAGAGGTAAGTATCAGGAAAGACCTAAGCTGCCCACAGGTGGCTGCTTTCAGAGGTCCAGGCTCGTCCTGCTGCGATGTTGTGGCTCATGACTGGCAGGGAACATAGGAGAGGTCCCAAAGGGGGAGGAGAGTGAGATGGACTCCTGGCTTGGTGGGAACTCTCTAGAAACGTCTGGCCCAAGTCCTGTCCCCAGCAGGACTACTCCAGTGTCTCCAGAATAATCTGTGTATTTGGGGGGAAAGAGGAGGTGTCTGCACCCTACCCTCCAGGCACAGTGCCCCAGCTGCAGACAACTCTCTCTTGCCCAAGGCAGCCCAATCTCAGGTCCCTCAGAGAGGTGAGGAACTTGGGGTGCCACTAGGGGCCTGTGTGCGGTGGGGGCTCACCGGTCTGTCCCACCTGCCCCATCAGCAGCCCAAGCAGCCCAGTGGTCCCCACTGCACTCCCCTGGCAAAGCCACTTCTACAGTTTTGCCAATTACTAATACAGCAGAGGTGGCTGTACTGGCATGCCAGTGAGTGGCAGGTAGGTGGTGGGCAAGGAGCACAGCCTGCTCTGCCCCACTCCAGCCAGGCAACTAAGCCCTTCAGCCTCTGACACCAGAGGCCAGTACAGGAAGGTGGTGAGGCCCTGCAGAGGGCAACCAGAGGTGATGGCAGGCCAGATGCACAAGGTGAAGGCCAGAACAGAGTGGAAAGATCTAGGGCACCTATGGAAGAGGAGGAAGAGGAGAAGGACACTGGG